TTCCAAGAACCACTGAAATCATTCCTTTGGTTCGCTTTACCATACTACTTGATCAGAAACTTCAGCTGGTTTTGTAAAAATGACGGCTTTGCAGTGTCAACCACTCTACCAGCACTAATGTGTCAGTGGCCTATTTAGATGACTGATGATCCTGAATGTGGCTATGCTGCAGTATTTTGTATTTGTTCTTTATTTCTTGTCATTAGCTGATTACCTCAGAAATATGAGAATCCACAATGAATGTAGTTATGTAGTGTTTGGCCTTATATACTACAAGTTTTATGTTGCAGTTTCTTGATAGCGTGTGTGGAGAATGAAGACTGGGTATTTGCACTAGAAATCCACTTCTGAAGATCTGAGGTTGTAGGGGGTGGGACTCAGTGACCCAAACGGCTTCTTGAAGCCTCTGTAACTTTAAATATTTTAAAACTTTGTGCAGTCCTAATCAGGAACAGTATAATTTACAAAGACATTACAACCTATCAATCTGAGGATCTTCTGCTAGCCCATCTGCCCCCATCGAATTCAGTAACAGTCTGATGAATACTTCACACAGCTGAGTTCTTTAGCCTTTCATGGAAGCTTTTGAAGCTCTTTATCTGCAGACCCTAAACATGGGGGTTTCCAAAGTATACTAAAGAGGCTTACGAAAGATGACCAAGAAAAGCATGTTCTGCATAATGTCTAAAAGGATCCACACTTTCACTGGTAAATTTTTGAGGTCCCTATCTTAAAAAGCATCAAAGAAATAAAACTTGCAACAAAGGATAACTCAAATTGAGAATAAAATCATACTATCTTGTATTTCAATAGTTCCCTCCTTAAGCTGCAGAATACTCTTCACCTTAGTATATTCAATATTTATACCTGAGACTGCAGAGAAATTTGTTTCTGTGGCTACATGCCTCTGAATTTAACCAGACCCATCCTGTTCTTTCTTTTCCTAGGATTTTGCCCATGAACAGACAAACTTGAGTACTTGAGATTTCTAAATGCCAAGATAACTTGGGCATCCCCATGCAAACAAACTTCACTATAAATATGCTGGCTTGGGGACAGGGGCCTGACACTGGCTGGATGCACCAGCTATGCTGGATGCACCAGCTGTGCTGGACACACGGAGATCAAATGACATGTGTGGCACCTGCTCGGTGTGGCTGATACCTCCCCGATGCATTGGATTTACCGTGCACGGACAGGTTACCTCTGTAGCTTCTGGGTGTCTTAGGCTAGAGCACATATGCCACACCATAGGTGTGTTGAGCAGGAAAGCCTGGACAGAAACATGAGAGTTGTAGTTCATAACACTGAATGCGCCTAATAAATATTTTAGGGAAGGAGAGTCCATTCAGTTGGAAGCATAATTTAATTCTGGTTTTGCTTTAAAGAGCCCTACAATATTACTGTTTATTCTAGATACTTTCCATATTAGTTGACAAAGTTGCAGCTAAGCGCAGTAACTTAACATTAAATCCCCTTAGCAGGGGCAGGAAGAATTTTTAACAGAGGTATAACACACATATACCATGGCAGGTATATACCAAAGGTGGTCCAACAACGAATGACCACTCAGTGGCCTTAGAGTAACTTAGATGTTATGATGCAAAACCCCCACATTTTCCTCCTATCAGGAGTCTTTTCCCTATTAGGAGGGAAAAGCCCATGGTGAGTTTTGACATGTAATTCTACATATTTACCACTAGCTCTCAGTAAAGATGCTCACTTGATCAAGAGACTAGGTATCATATTGCAGATCTTTGGACACTCCAGTCCTCACATATGTGTTGATTGTGTCCATACAGCATCAAACAGCTACAAAATGTATTTGACTGTGTATAAGTCAAACGAGTGTTTGGCTCCCTCTGCACTGTCATGCTTCTGAAGCTGCTGACCTAGTATTTAGTTTATAATAATTTGGTTTATATTTGTTCTGTTTGTAGTTGGTATTTAAGCTAATTGTGTCCTTCCCCCAGCAGATTGTAGCATAAGGGAAACAAAGAAATAGTTACAAACTCTACAGCTACTCATTTTTTGGTTTTGTGAGAAATAAGCTGTCCTATGAAAATTGGAGCCAAAACACCTAAGAATACTGGATTCATCTTCAACGCACTGCATTTATGGAGGCTACTACCACTCCAGCCTCCAGCTCACTTAAAAATGCAGAAGACTGCAGTTGCAGTCCTCTGCCATCTCTAATTACTGTCTTAAACAGCAAAGGTCGGCACATTACACCTGATCAGCCCAGGAGGTTAGGACCCTGCCTGGAGCCTGGAACGAAGGAAGGTTTCAAGCTAATCTGAAAGGGATGGGGTAATATCAGGTGACCTCAAAGCACTTTGCGGAGAAAGCAATCTTATCAAATGAGAACACAAAACGGTGTCAAGGGCCTGGGAACCAGATCTGTGCTCCAGCAAGTTGTTTGGCCTGCCCTTTGGAGAGGGACTTTATCTCACAATCCTACTGATTCGAGTGGTGTGTGGGAGACCCAACCTCTTTGGAATAAGACAAGTGCACACCTTGAAACAAAATGCTCCCCTCAATCTACACAGAGGACAGTTTTAGGGAACAGCAGTGCACCTCTCTTTGAATGCAGGCAGCATCCAGTCCTGCTCAGTGCCCAAACACCGCCCTGTGCATATTGAGACAATATGGGTCATGATGGTGCTCCCACCATTTTGTGAGCTGCCTCCTGCAAAAGCCTTCAGCAAAGCAGATGACCAACAGTATCCACAGAGATACCAATACATGGTAGGTTCACCAGCAGACAGTTGGGGTGCTGCAGCAATGTGCCTGGGTAGGATCAGCCTCGCAGGCTGTTAGAAGACCGCTCTCCAGACACCACACACTTTCAAATCAACTAAAACCAGCGTAAAAGTGGATCAAAGTATTTCACTTCTCTCTTACAGCTGCCTTTTTTTGCAAGTCTCCCCTGATTCATCCAACTTGGCAACCCCAGGTGAGAGAAGAATTTCTGAGTTTTGGGCATGAGTGCTGTGTAAATTGCTGCCATGCAAAGACCACAGGAATTCCCTAGGTTTTCCTCAATTTCTGAGTGCTCTGTGAAGAACAGCACTCCTTCCTTTTCCCTTGTAGCCAGGCCCATCTATTTGTGATCTGCAGGGTTAAGAGGTTGAGACCAAACTATCACCCCTTTTTCAAATTACTGTCCTGGGTAATAACCTGTGACCCAGCTCTGCTTGGCAAAGCCTATGTTTGTACCCGGGAAACAGAGATACCTAGAAGAGGCTGTACATTGACACTACCATAACTGCAGTAAAACATAGATTGTCTTTCCTCCTGCTTCTTGTTTACTGAATCTGCAGCAAAAAAACCCAAAAAACAGAAACAATGAGAAGTTGTGGACGCTAGGAACAGACAGGATCTCTACTGCCTGTCCCCTTGAGCTGCTGCAGAGAAACCAGCTCACCAGGAACCGTATACCCAGAAAACAGTTTCAACTGTTTTCACTCTGGAAAAATGGAGCATTAATGCCCTCCCACCTTGAAGCTTCTGCCAGAGCGACAAACTAACTGATACTGCTTTCCCCCTAATGCTCTTCTTGTCACCAGCACTGCTGCAGCAAGCCTGTGCAGAGGAGAACAGCACAGTGGCCTGAAAAGCTGATCACTGCCCTTTGTAGGACAGCACTTATCCAGCACACTGCTCACCATGGAGAAGAAGATCACCATGTGTGATAGCATCATGATCCTGGCAAGCTGGAGCCCTGGAAGGAAACACTTTTGGCCAACCTCCCCGTGTGGAGGGGCTGAAAGGATGTCAGGGGCTGCCAGTCTGTGAGCAGCAGGAGCCCAGGCTGCGATATGTAGAGGTGGCAGCCTAGGCAAGATTCCAGCAAGGGGGAAACACTAGCAAGAAAAGGAAAGAGAGAAGACTAAATGGGGAAGGACATAGATGTGTGTCTGTGGAAGAGGAGATAGGTGTTTGCAAGGGGTCGAAGTGAAGTCACGACACATGATTCCACGCTTTGTGCCTCCATGCTGCGTTAGCATGGCTGCTCCCAGAAAAAAAACAGAGCTGGGCTGCCCATTGTTGGAGCTGCAGCAGGCGCAGGGAAAGAAGATGCCTCCAGATAAGGAGATGGAAATGTATCCCAATTACTGGATACTGTCTGCATCCTGTAACGGGCTAAACAGAGAGGGCTGAGCAAGGGCAAAAGAAGCAACCTTGAAGCTGTGCCTTTGCTAAGTGAATGTCTCCAGTATTCATGTGAGTATTTTGCTACTTCTTACTGAGTCATATTAACTCTCTCTTTAAAAAGCCATCAGAGTTAGCATAATGTTCACATACCGCTGCGAAAATCCTATACCTGCTATTGTAAGAGACCTATTATTAGCGAGGCATTATTATCTGTCATGTGGATTGTAAACTGCCTTACTGTGAGCTAGTTCATGTGGATTGCTCTGCATCAAGCTCCTAACCCTGCCACAGCTACTCTTCTGTAAATTTCCACGCGGACACACTAATTTCGAGATCAGAATGCAAGGAGGATTTAATGAAGCTCAGCAGCACTCCAGCATGTGTACAGAGCCTCCCACCACGGAGCCCAACCTCCAGCAGAACTTGCGCCCGCTACAGGCAGTGAATAATAGCACTGGCAGGTCTGACCAGGGAGAGAAGGCTGAGGCAGTGGAGAAACAGTTTCAGTGCCTGCTCTGCGAGGTGTATGATCCCTCTCTCGGCTCCTCTACATACAATAAGCTTTCCCACCTAGCCATGTTTTTCAGCCAAAGGGATCTTAAGACTGCCAGGAAGGTAGAGCTGGAGTGGGTGGGGGGCATTGACACTGAAATTGCCAACTCCCAGCTTTGGAGAATGATTTGGTTTGGAGCTGCTGGAACAAGACCAAAGCCAGTGACACTGCGCAGGAGAGAAATAGCAGCAGAAAGTGTGGGGAACCTTTCCTCACCCTGATGCCTGAACAAAGGGAAGCAGGTTTAGCAAGACAGACAGCAGTTGCTACAAAGGGGAATGTTTCTTACAGTCACTGTGCACAGCATAGGAAGGCAGCAGGCTGATGGGGGAGAGATCATCTTCAGGTCCCTCTATCACTGAAGGGGACCCCTTGGGAGGCGTCTTACCGGTGGGCAGGGGCAAGGTGGAGACCGTGTTGAGCAGCACCACACAGACAGCCACAACATCCCATAACTTCATCTTAGATCTCCTTCCAACACGGGCCCCTGGCAGAAAGGAGAAACAGGGTTAGCTTCCAGCTGCTGTGCTCCCCCAGTTCTGCTCACACCCTGCCAGTCCTGAGACAAAGCTGAGCAATCTTGCACTTCAGGATCAGACTGGTCCACCTGGGTCAGGCCTGACGACAGAGTAGGGGAAACAACCTGTTACCAGCTCAGCCTCCCATAGCAAGTGATGGGCTCTCCCCAGCGAGTGAGTGATATGGCAAAGGGAGGCACAGGATAGCCTCCAATTCCTCTATGCCCAAGAGAGCTGTATTGGGGCATATGGGCAGGCAAGCCCCAGGAGTCTGTTTGTAGGGACGTAGGAGTGTGATCATGGCCCTGTGCTGGCTGGCAGACAGGTCACCTTGTGCTTTTCCAGCACTTGGGTGGTGTCAGGGCACTTATTCCTGAGCTGGACCAGGAAGGACCAGGCCGATCTGGGGTGCTGGGCTGTGCAGATTTAATGTGCTACAGGCAAATCTTCATTTCCCTTTATCTCAGTTCTGCTTCTCCTCTCCTCACCTTTTTTGTTTCCCCTTTTCTCTTTCTTTTCCTCTTTCTTCTTCCCGGCCCTTCTCTTTCCCCTATTCAGTCCTCTTTCCTCTTCATTTTTTACTCTCCTTTTCTTCTTTCTTTCTTCTTCACTCGTCCCCTTTTTATCCTTATCCTTTTCCTTTTCCCCATTATTTCTCCTTTCCCTATCATATTCCTCTTTTCTTCCTGTTTCCCTTTCCTTCAAGATTTTCTTTTAAATTCCCTTTTCTCCTTCCTCTTTTGTTCTTTCTCTCTCTCTTTCTTTTTCTCTCTCTTTCTTTCTCTCTCTCTTTCCTTCTCTCTCTCTCCCCCTTTCCCTCTCTCTTTCCTTCTCTCTCTCTCCCCCTTTCTCTCTCTCTCTTTTCTTCTCTCTCTTTCTCTCCCTTTCTCTCTTTCCCTCTCTCTCTCCCTCTTTCCCTCTCTCTCTCTCTCCCTCTTTCCCTCTCTTTCCCTCTCTCTCTCCTTCTCTTTCCCTCTCTCTCTCCCTCTCTTCCCCCCCTCCCTCTCCTCTCTCTCTCTCCCCCTCTTTCCTCTCTCTCTCTCTCTCCCCCTTTATTTCCCTCTCTCTCTCTCTCCCCCTCTTTCCCTCTCTCTCTCTCCCTTTCTTTCCCTTTCTCTCTCCCCCTTTCTTTCCCTCTCTCTTTCCCCCTTTCTCTCTTTTTCACTCTCTCTCTCTCTTTTTCTCTTTCTCTTTCTTTCTCTCTCTCTTTTTCTCTCTCTGTTTGTCTCTCTCTCTTTCTCTCTCTCTCTCTCTTTCTTTCCAATCCTCTTTCTCTTCCCTTCTCCTTTCCCTTTCCTTCTCTCCCTTCCCTTGTCCCTTTTTCTTCTCCTCGCTCCCCGACCGCCCTGCTCGCAGTCTGCCACGGCACGTACCCGCTGCCCAGGGGTGACAG